GGGGGCTCCCCACGGACACGGGGGTTCTCACGGACATGGGGCTCCGGCACAGCCCTGGAGGGAGCTCCCTCTGCCCCGAGGCACAGGGCAGGACTCCCACAGCTCCTGCCCACATCCAAACCAAAGCCCTTCCCAAGGCAGTCCTTTCAGCCTGCCTTTCTCAACAGAACCGTAGCAGAATATGCTACACACAGCCTATAGCAGGATATTCTAGGAAAAAGGGGCAGAAAAATGCTTTCAGAAATGACATTAATATTCAAGCTCATGACTTGAGCTCTTCATTCCTTTTTCCTCTCATCTTTTCCTCATTTAGGGCTGCAACGCTTGCTGTTGACGGCAGTAACAACATTTTTCAACCCTGGGCACAACAATATTGACCTGTTGTTGATCAGATCTATCAGCAGTGTATGATAACTCAGTGTGCTTTTCCCCTCCAGCTGCCGGCACTTGTCTGTTCCAGGTGCATTTTAACTGAAGGAAGGGACTGCTTCAAAAGCAATCCCATCTGGACTGCACAGCCAGGAAAAACAAAGCAAACCCAAGACCTTTTTAACTGAAGATACGATTCCTGTCTGGATAGGCAGCAGTAAAATAAAATCACGGCCTTCGTATAACTGTGCCTGCTTGCTAATTCCCTGGTGAGTTGAAGTTGGGGCTCTGTGAGAGTAATGAAGCCCCTTCTTGATTGGAAAATGTTTCATTACACGAACAAATGAATCACTTGTCCACACCCAGGATCTCCCCCCTCCCTTCTCTCCATTTAGCTGTACAGAAACATTAAAATGTACCAGCAGGGCACTCGGCCAGGTTTTATCTCCCCCACGAACTGCAACAACCCGCACGTACACACAAGATTCTATAAAAATACCGTCAGTTCCAAGCAAGAGAATTAAAGATTTTCTTATTTCTACCAAAAGTTAGATGCTCTTATTTTAACCTTTGTTCATGTTCGTACTTCCAGGCATGAAGTGCTACTAAAGCATGTTATACTTGGCATCTCTTATTACTGAAGCAGAAGGCAATGTAATCTTGTGAGAAAGTGTAATAATGTAGTATTCATTTTGCTTCTGTGGCTGGAAGCCAACTCTATATTAATATTCATTTCCAGTATACAGAGCCACAGTATTTCATTTATTTTAAGAATTTACAATTAATTTGGTATGATTCTGTTATCTGCTCCCAATTTCCTTTCCTGTTTCTTTTTAGCTGAAAAAGCAGCTCTTGTACAGACTTTAAAAAAGTGAATTCACAACTGAAGCATCAGAAGATTGCTACTGGCTACTACAAGCAAGAAAAACAGGGACAGAACAGAATGGACTTGAAATATTACAGATGACAATGAAAATTAACTATCTGCAAATAGCAAAAATTCAATCTGCAGAAGTTCTGAGTTGACTATTTCCTTTCCAAACTCAGCAGATAAAACACTCTTTCACAGCATGCTGTTTGCAACTTTAACCAAATCACAGAAAGTTGTCTGCTCTTCCTTTCTGATTTCAAATGTTTTCAACCACCACAAAGCATTAAACTGCAAGTGCCTGAATCTTTGTGAAATGCACTAAATATACGGATTTGAAACAACTGCAATAATTTTAAAAAATTCCTTAGTATTTTAAAACTTCAGAAGAAAAAACAGCATAGATGTCTCTACTACATAGGTGCCTACACCTTTGGTTTCAACCAGTGCAACCACTTCTGCAACGCAAGTGCCTTTATAACTAACCCCAGTTATAACCAAACCAGCCAGTCATAAGGTTTGTAATTCCAATCTCCTAATCCACATTCACCTTTCTTACCTGGGAGAGAGGCTGAAAAGCATTTTACCTTCCAGCTGTCCGGCCCTACCTTCCTCTAAAAGTAAGATTATAGCCAAGCCCCCAGACCCGACTGACAGGGAGAACACAGTCAGTACAACTGTCCCAGGCCAGAGACCCCAGCAGAGATGGAGCCATCCCAGAGCTGCAGCACACCCTGGGAAATGCCAGTCTTCTAACACATCCTGGCAATGTTTGAGGAGAGGGCAGGAAGGGGTAACTGCCTGTGAAAGCTGTTTGAGCTCAGTGAGATTTCCCTGAGCTCAGAACCTCTGTGAAGGCTCCGAGGACTCTCCCTGGTAGATGTGTGTGTGTGTTCACACATCCACATGGACAACTCACTGCAGCAGAGCTCGTCTGTCAGCACAGCACACAGCCCCAGCCATGGCAGTCTGGAATTAAAGCTCAGGAAACGACACAGTGAGCGTGGAACACTGCAGATTTCAATTTTTAATCTTGGGGTTTGCTATTTTTGGGGACTAGTTATTTATATAGATTTCAGAAAGAAGAGTGGAGGAGGCAGAGTAGCTTTCCTGAAGTATTTCTGAAAATCTAGCCTTAAAATTCAAAGAATTTTGATAGGGTAAAGAATGTATCTGCTTTAAAAGCCGGTGAGATCACACCACAGATGCACCAAGGAAGCCTATACATTACATACCAATTACTGAATAATGTGAGATGCTATTTTATTACTAAACCAATTTTTTCACCTGCAATCTAGTCAATCAAAAAGCTTACACCCAGAAATACCCTCAAGTTCTAGATGAATATTTGCAATTAAGAATTCATAAACCATGTTTTCCTGTTCATTCGTGTTTCTCTGTTTATAAAAAGGGCCACAAGAACAGCTGGGGAGACAGACTAACTGGATAAAGTAAAGTTTATGAAGAAAAACAGAACAAAGAATAGATACTGCAACTTTTTAAAAAAATTCTTTTCCTTCCTCATCTCTTTGATTTAAGAGCTATTTTAAACACATTTGATAGTAGTGAAGTATTTTTCCCTTTTCTAAAAAAAGCAAGAATATTTTCAAGCAGATGTTATTTTTGTATGAACTTTGGAGTTTTATTTCCTGAAATTTAACTTGCATAGTTCTAATATTAATGAAGTGTTTGCCATTTCATTTTCATCAAGCCAAATTAGAAAAGTAAAACAGGTATTTCATTTTCACTGTTTAGTTGTTTTAAATCACGTTTAACACATCTATACATTCCTACTAAATTATTGTGCAATGAAAATAGAAAAAGGAAGAATCCAAAAATAAGGCACCTACTAATCAAGGATATTAATACCGTCACTTCAGTTTAAGCATATGACACTATCAAAACCAAAAAATATCTTTTCTTTTTTTTTTTCATTAAAAAAGGGACAGTTTGAGTCTCATAAATTAATATATGCTATAAATACGTTTAGTTTGACATCCTCAAACTTCAAGTGATCTGACAGAAATTAATGTACAGTTCATTTAACTCATCTGCAAACTCAAGTAAAAAATAAACTAAAGCTTACCTTCAGTACACTGCAGGAAGCTGACAAGGAGCAGAAACCAAAAACTTCTCATTCTGCAGCCAGAAGACACCATTATTGATCCCTGTAAGAATTTTCTTTGTATTCCTTAATGAATCCGGTTATAAAAGCCCAGCATCATCGAAACCAGTGGCCTGCATTATTCTTCTTCATACCTGGAGTAGCAGAAGATTTGGAAGAAAAAGAGAAAAAAAATTCCATCACTAACTGAACACCAATAATTCAGAATATCAAATCTTACTCGATACAAACTGGAAATTTTTAGTAAAACGGACAGAACAGCTGCACTGTATCTGGGAATTCAGCAGGTTTGTGGGATGTAATCTCTCAAGGTCAGTGAACACTAAACAGAATGCCAAATAATGATACAAGTTAGAGTCCTAAGTGTCAATGTTATTGATGTACTTGCAGTAAGACACATTAAAAAAACCCAACAGGAGAACGTTTCCTCTGAATATAAGAAACTGGATGTGCAGATGAGTAAGCGAAGCTTTTCCCACTGCCCAAATCTGACACAAACTGCATTCCTCTACCTCCAAGAACCACAGTAAAATTAAATGTGGGGCACTGCCATATTTCTTAGGGATTCGAAACATGGAGTGGCTGAGAACAACAGAGCAAGTCCCCTGGGCAGGAAGGTGTGCAGGTCTGCTCCCTGCCACGGCTCCAGCATTCCACACAGGTTCCCTCCTTGGATGAGAGGCAGGAACAGCAACTCTGCTGACAAAGTTCCCTGTTTGGTGAGGAAGGCTCTTCACACGACTTTAGTTATCTCTATTTCTACCCAATAAACACCTTCAGAGAAAAGGGAGTCAACATAATGGATCAGACTCTCCTGTCCTTAGCCTTGAACAAGATTTGTCTCCTACTGAGAAATATGAACTGAACTGCTCCTGTAAACGATGAAGAATTCTTAGAGCTATCATTTGCATTTAAAAATATAATTACACTGATAGAGTGCAGTAGCTGTGATAGAAGATTTGACAGCAGAGTGCTCCCTTTCTCTAATGACTCCATTCTCTCACCAGCCAAATGAGTAACTACGTACATCCTCTCCCATATCTCACTGTATGAAGCAAGGTCATGCTTCAGCCCTGCCTATTAGACTTTGGGAAGCTAGAGAAAAATTAACATCCATAGAAAAACAAATTATTTTTAAGTAGAAAGCTGGCTCTACATATTACAGATACGTGAAACAACTCTGGAGAACAACTTTCTGAACACTGTGGCAATCACAGATGCAAAGAGCTGAGCCCGACGTCACACCGGCTTGGTCTCTCCAAGATGAATGAACAGGGCTGAGATATCTCAAATTAATGTTACTTTAAAACCATGTAACAATGACTCTGTAAAAATTTAAGTGGCAGGATCCAAGGGCCACTTATGATTCTCATGAGTACTGGAGCACATTGAGGGCTTTAAAAATACATTTACCCTTTTGGCAAGGAGAACTGGAAAGGATGAAGCGCACAAAATGCCAGCTAAAGAAATGCTATGAACTGTAGATCATTTTCAGAAGTAGAAAGTGTAACACTTTTTATAACAGTCAATGTTAATCAATGATAAATTTGTTCCCTGAGCACACAAACAGCAACAAGACTGACACTCACTATTTTCCAGTAGGAGAGAGGGGTGGGAATTAACAACAAACATTACAGAACAATTTCTCCAGCTCTGAATGAAGGCAATGTAGCTGTGGAGATTATTAAACATGCGAGGAGGCTTCTTTACTTGGCTCCTCTTTAAGAGAAGTGAGGCATCCCCCTCACAACACCAACGTGACGGGGAAATAACAAAAACTGACAGCTGAGGCCGAGTGATTATTTGTTTATTTATACATAAAAATAAGCACTTCTTTCCATTTCCAACTCCAGACAGGTGCTTTTTAATCGCAGGCACTTTGAGCCACACGTATTTCAACAAGGAGCACGGACCAGCAAACAAAGCACTTCAGCACAGGACGTCCAGTGTGGCTCTCCCTGGCACACACCCCTGTGCCCAGAGGGAAGAGGTGGGACCTTAATTTTCATGGTGATGCACCAGCTGCTACAGGACAACCCAGAGGCAGCCAGGAAGAGACAGTCACATTGTACCTCCAGATCTTTCGCACGGGGCTGAGAGTGTTTTGCAACCAAAAGCAAATAAATCTAAAAATCCACAAAGGATGCAGTGCATTCAGTAGAAATTACAATTGCAAAGGAGCTCCTGCTGAGTAAAGAAGAAAAAAATGCCACCATGGTCTCTCTGAAAAAAAAACCCTGGAGATAGTTCAGCTAAAAGCTTGGGAAGAGTTTGGATTAATTTTTCACCTGTAGCACCCAAAGGAAAAATCATAAAACTATTTCACACACACTACAGACTAATCAGCATAATTTCAGTAAGAAATGAGAATAATCCAAGAGAACAGATGACAAACAATAATGGCTAAAAGTGAAATTAAGTCAGCCTTCTGATTGCTCCCAGTCTGTCCAGAAGATTTTGGCCTCCTGAGACTCAAGTTTTATTGTTATTTCCATAACATATCGCTGCACTCCCAGATTTTGAGACATCTTCCATCCACTTCAAGTGGATAGTGACATACCTGTCCCTTGTCATCTTCAAACTCATCCCTTTCTTGTGGGCCTTTTTTAAATTGGGGGGGGAGGAGGAAGGAAAGAATTATGTTAAAAACAAAAACAATAATCAAAGCACCACTTGAGGGGAGACCAAACATCTCCCAAGAAAACAGCTGCAAAATCTATGCCAAAAAATGTATGCCAAATACTCTTCCCTTTTTCTTTTTTCAATTGAGTAAGAGTTCTTGACCTTGTAAACTGAGATAGCTGTTTTAATAAGAAACTACAGTTTCTGAAAGGATATTGATGTCTTTGTGATATCAAAACCACAGAAACTATTAAGAATAAATGCAGAATATTTTAAAGGACAAATTTAAGTGTTTAGTGCAATATATTGTTCTCTTTAGATTGCTGTAGCCTACAGATATAGAATTGAACTCACTATGCTGCTGCAAATAGAATTGAAAATAAACTAACCAGCCCCTACCAAATTATCAGTAACATATGTTTTTCTAAAAACCCAAGAAAAAATGAAACAGTGTTTAAAAACTGATGCAATAGGGTTTGGTTTTGCCTCTTTTCTTCTGAATAAAAGTCAACATTCACAGCAAACCATTTTAATGCAACCTCTGTATTTGAGAAACTCTGCGTGGCTCCAAGTAAAAGAACACTGCAGTTCTGAACCAACCATTCATCAGTGTAACAAAAGCTAAACCTGGAAAAGGCACCCAGACATGAGCTGGAGCCAGAGAGCACTGGGACTGCAGACACTGCTGTCAGCCAGTCCCTCTGCCCATCCATCTGTCAGCGACACGGCACTGCTGGGGGCACCTCAAAACAACAACAAAGCCCAAACCAAACAAGTAGGACCGGGAAAAGATGTGTTAAGTTACTTCTCTGTAAACAGAAAAAGGACACCACAGTGAGTGGCTGTCCTGAGCAAATAAGTTATTTCCCCTCAGACCTTAATAAACCTTTCCTCTGGGTCGCTGAATGCTTCGGCTCATGGGGGGGCAGAGAGAAACACCCTCGAGCAAAAGGTTGCTTGAATTTCAGAGTGCAACAAAAGCTGCCCAGAAAATTCCAGTTGTAACTTAAATCCCTACCTCTGGGCCATACTGCAGTCTCCCACAGAAAAAACCCCAGCCCTCCACTGGAATAGAGAGGTTCACCTTGTTAAGGTTCTTCTCATACGCGCTGGTAAAGAAGGCGAGATCAGGAACAGAAATGTTAATGTTCAAACCTGTACACTGCAAATGTACTGGGCATCTCTTCATACTGTATTCATAAGCTGTGCTCCAAGTCCTGAATATCTTAGTGCCCCTGCCTTGCTTCCTTGTTCTTCTGTGCTTCTGAAACTCCTTACAGGCAGAACACGACCGCTGCAGAATACACGCCACTGCTGGCCACCCCTCTCCCCGCAACATTGCTCAAGAGCACCCCAGAGATAAGAGAAAGCTGCTCCAAGCATGCTCCTTGAAATACTTTTATCTTTGAAGAGAAAGACCTCTAAAGGACTGCCGTGTCCCAACTCTACTCTGTTTAACCTTCCCAAGGTTTTATTTTCAAAAGCCAAAAAAGGGTCTTTTAAGAGCTTCTGGCCAACTGACACAGCATGCTCAAAAGCTGCCTCTTCCCTCCAGTTTTGCAGGCAATTAAGACAAAGGGGAACACAGAGATCTTTCCAGCTAAGCAAGGATGTTTTTCTGTAGCTAGAAGTCTCTCAGACTAATGCTGATGTATTTTAGAGTATAGTGTTTAATTTTCCGAATCATCTTAGAAACACTGCAGAGCACTTGCAACCTCAGTCAGGTTTTAACATCCCCATTACAGAAATAAAATTTATACTAGCTTTACAGATGATGAGGCACAGCAAGGTAAGGAACATCAGCCATAGCTGCACAGCTCGTACGTGCCAAGGAACCAGCAGGACCCAGGCAGTCCCCCTTGTAAATCCTGTGTGACCTACCTTGCCACACATGCAGCACCCCCAGCGCCTTTCATAACCCAGTTTATGAAACTAAGTAATTCTGTAATATATCTGAGACACTCTGCAGAGAAAAGGAGGGGGAAGAGGAGGCAAGGGTGAGTAGATATATATTCATACAATATAATAGACTACTTAGTCTCCTGAGAAATCATGTGTCCACGTGCTTTCCCATCATGAGGCTTTCCCAATTTAAAAAAAAAAAAAAGTTAAACTTCCTATAATCTGTAACATAAGAATTTAATTAGTGCAGTGTGATTAGTAAAACTAAGCTGCATTAGTAAAATACTAGAATGAGACTAATACTGTTTATGATCCAAGAGCTACAGTTTTCTACATATCTGCAATGAGATCCAGCTCTACTTTTCAACATTGAACGTACCGTCGATGCATTCAATATGAGTTACTCCCCAAGTTTTCAATATGCTTATTCAAAAATTGATTTACATTAATAACTCTGCATTAGTGCGACAATTTCTGATTGCAGAAAATCTGGTTATGTGTTCTGGTTATGAGACCTTACGAAAAAAACCCTGAAGACAAGCAAGACTCCACACTGATCTAGTTAGCCTCCTTGTACTACCTATGGTAAACAATCAGTGCCTGATCTGCT